ACGTGACTTTGGAATGTCTGCCTGTCTGGATGATGTGCTCAGTCATCTTAACATTCACAAACGTTATATGACTAAGATGCTTCCGGATCTAGATTTGATTATGGATTTCATAATTTTGCACAGTATTCTCTACTGAACTCGGCAAAGCTTGTGTCAATAATGCATTCAAAGCTGTTAGACGGACACGTGCATTTTATGCTCCTTTTCTTGCTATATATTTTGAGAACTGATGCCAATTAAGGTTTATTATACTCCAGAAAGCAGTACTATTGTACTTTAATACATCCTTTGTATGTATACGTTAAGAAGGAACCTGAGACCTGTAATGGAGTATAGGGGAAACACAAATTATAGCACATGTTCGCATCCCAGGTACGTGTATAGAAGAAGAAGGCGTTTCGATAACCGGAATCATAATTTTAGTCTTCTGAGCTTTCGGATTCTTGCGGGAGTCGCCCGTCAGAGATAAAAGCGTCAACGAACAACAAGCAACAGTTATAGGGAGTAGGAGCCAATCATCAGTCTCGACCGTGCGGATATGTCTGCTGAGGGCGATGTATGCGGGCGCCAGCTCAATACGTCGGTTGACTTAGTTGTCATTCAAATTCCAGGCCTCAATTAGTTCTCGTCCTGTCCTGTCGTCGGTGTGGGCAATTATCCTCGCGGCTGCAAAATTAAATTCGTGGCTCGTCTCACAGGTGTTGGCGGCTGCTTGCGATAATGCGTCAGCTCATCGTACAGCCAGCTTATGTTTAATGTATGCGTCTGTACTTTGTAATTTCGGGAACAGTTTAAGCACGGTATGCAATACACTATGCCCAGTTGCTTACTAGGGTTTAATCGGTCCTTTATTCTCATGACACGGCTGTACATGGTAGTCATGGGATGGTGTGCAATTTCGAAGCCTAGTCCCATAACTATGCGCTCGGTCGCTTCCGAAAGCTCGGAAAAATAAAATCACGATTCCGGCCATGGATTTGAAACTCAAAACTCGCCTTTTTAATTAATTGCCATTGCGCAGTAACAAAAAGTACGATAAGCCAGGGGATTTTGAAAGAATAATGAGGGTGGGATTATGCTAGAGAGGGTGGTGATCGGTCTAGACAAAGTTGAAGCCATGATCACCGAGTTTCGAGGCTAAGGAACAGGAGAAATCTTCGCTCGTGTAATTTCGCGCCGGTGAAACACGACGTAGTAGATTGCAGGTAGAGAGATTTAGGAGTGAGCCGGGCCAGCGTTGCTGAAGGACTTGGATGAATGTCCTCTGTAAGTACAAGTATGAAGTGGTTGGCCCCATGATTCGCCTCTATCGACGCCAGCATCCCCTTGCATAGTAATTTTACTTTATTTTCTTTGGGATAGTTTGAAAGTATTGGTTGAACTCCACTCAGTGGCCGTTCCCAATCAGTTGAATCAAAATTTCGTTGGTTATGGATATTTCAATGCGTTCATTACATCCTGCAGAACGATGTTACAGAATCAATTTGGGAAGGCACCTTGTCACCTTACCAATTTTTGATTCTCCATACGAACAAGTGAAGGTAAGAATGCCCACTTAAAAGCTCTAAAACGACAGCCTAGATTTTGTTACGAGGCAATGGGGGAAGCTACTCGAAAAGGTTAATGTTTATTTGACCACTGGGTACGCGCGCATTGGCGGAGTTCAAGCTACTTGCTAGGACCATGCTGGACGAGTCCCATCGAACGGTAATCAGAGGGAAAGTTCGTTCTTTGTAGTCGTTGGTGTGTCTAGTTGTAGTAGACGTCCATCTCGCGAATGCCATTTTTCCTAGAGCACTTCATTTAAAAATCAGCGAGCATACTTAAAAACTCCAGATACTCCTGTATCTGTGCAAAGCCTTTAAAGCAAAAGGTTCTAATGTACCAACACATAAATGTTACAGTCTCGGATGCAAACGAATGCAAACCTAGTTCGAACAATCATCCTTCTCCTTTGGCTGTTTCTAGGGCGTATTCAAGCGAATATTGTTCCTCTCACTCAACAAGTGGAGCGTAATAGGCCTTTCTACGCCGAGTGTCGCCTATCGCCGCGACCGTCTGTACCGGTTGACTACACCTGGTACTTCCAAGGTCGAGTATTCTCTCGCGGTGAACGTCTCAGCATTCCTGAACTCAACGAGTATACGGTTGGTGACTACATCTGTAAGGCGCGCTTCAGACCAGCGGGCGGTTCGACTGTCGAGATTAAAGCGACTATTTCCCTCTGGTTCGAGTCTGCGCCCTCCGGTGGTAGTTCTGGTAAGTTTTTACTATGCCATACCCAACGTTGTAGACACATATTGTTTGTTTGTCAGGTTTTTGCGCAGCCTTTCGTCTATCCGCGAACCGTAACTGTGTGCATGTTATCACTTCTAATTAGGGGCATCATTTGCTTAGGCGCGCTGCTTGAAGTCATGGTAAGTGCATTTCTCTGTGTCCGTTGGTAAATTGTTCTTCTTGAACTGAAGGTTTATCTTCTTAATGTTCAGTTTGAACACATGTTCAGTTGGCACAACAGCATCAAGCGTGGGCGAAAATCAAAACTTCAAATTTATATTCATTTACTGGTTTTTTCGTAAATTTTGTGACATAGCACTAGTCAGTTAACTAGTTTTCGAAACGAAAGGATGTAGCACAGAACCTGCTTCAGAATACGACAATTCTCGTCGCTAGTGTTCGCCTAGAATCCGAAAGTATATATATGCACTAAAAGAACTTTGGAGTGAGGACTGGAACACTTACACG